CACAGCAATGAAAAGATGGGGCCAGCTGAATTAAATTATGAGTCCTCTATGAGGCCGGACCATATATGGCAAGCCTTTGAATTCTTCTACTATATCAGTCCGTTATTGCCACAATATGCTGCTTAAGAACAACCACAGAACTCAGTGGCATAAAACAATGGGCATTTACTAAGCTCATGAGTCTATGAACTGGACCAGTCATTTCTTCTGGTCTGGACCAGGCTCAGCAGATCTTAGCAGCCTTGTGCTAGCCTGTGTTTAGCTCACGGGTTAGTTAGCTGGCTGGCTTGTAATAGACGCACTTTCGTGTCTGGTAGTTGAGGTGATAGAGGGCATATAACTGGGTCAGGTGTCTCCTCCAGCAGGCTAGCCTGAAATTCTTTACGTGATGCCTGAGTAAGCTTCCAACAGGAATAGCAGAAGCATACATAGCCTTCTGGGGTCTAGGCTCACAACCGTATCTGTCACCCTGGCACATCCTGCTGGACAAAGTAAATCACAAGGCCTCTCCAGATTCAAGGAGATAAAAAATACACTCCACTCTTTGATCGGAGGAATTGCAAAGGCCATGACTACAAGAAGGGTAAAGAATTGCTGTCATTTGTGCAATCTAGCTACCATGCTTACGGAACTTGAGCTGTACAGAATAGACATTCAACACAAGTTTGGGTACATGAACCAGAATGTGGCAGTTAAATGAGATGGCCCTAAACCTCAGCAAAGAGATGATCAAGAGCAGGCTCTGGTGTCCAGTGGAGGACCATCTGAAGTTTTGGATTGTGGAGAAGGAAAGTTAAGAGGGATCCAAATTGAAATTCCACAGCTAGACCTGATCTCTTGAGTCCTCAGATCTAAGCCTTATTTAAATCTGCTAGGAGAGAAGTTAAATGCTCTCTTCAAGCCCAATAGGAGCCATGAGTGTGGAGTGAATTGATTGCTAACAATTTAAAACATCAGGAGATCTTACATGAAACTTTGGATTCCTCATTTTTCTTGAAAAACAAAAATCTGTCGGGCCTCAGCTACTGCTGAGTTTCAGGCACCCCCTCCCTTCAGAGAGAGCATGCCCTCCCCACCAATCCTACTTCCTTGTACACAATCTGCTTCTCTTATTTTCATGATTTGCCTTTTCCCCCTACGTTTGCAACCCTTCGGCTGGAATAGCCATAAAATCCTGATAGATGGGCTTTTGGGGAACAGAGCCAGACTTTACTCTGCATACTTTTCATGTTTTCTTACAATGAGCAAGTATTCCATTTATAAGAAGGAAACATAAATAAAAAGAAAACTCTGATTTTAAATTTAATAATACGTGCAATTTGTAATTAATTCATTAATAATGAATGACTTTTTTAAAAGAGTGAAATATGACATTTAATATATATTAATTTGGTTAATAAATTAAATTATTTTAATTTATTAAAATAGTTTAGAATACATAACATCTATTACTAACCCA